CATCATAACTGAACCCCCTAGTTAATCCATTCACAAACTACTAATGATATACACTGTTAAATAACCCCCTTGTCACCCTTTTCATTTATTAATTTTAGTGGTACATCAGTATTCCTGCTGGAAATTCCCATATGTTGCATTTTCATTTCTTGTGAGCTTTTGTGAACAGTTTGAAATTGTATGGAGAAGTCACATGTCAATCACTCAGGGAGTAAATGAGTTAACAAAAGCAAAAAAAGGCATGATCAATGATCTCTGTTGATAAGATTAAGAATTTTTCCAATTGATTTGGCTGTCACACCCTAGCACCTTGAGGAAAGCCTAATTTATAAAACACCTCTTGAGAACAGCACAAACAATTCTATCACAAAGCTGACCTTAAAAATGAAAGCTTGTTAACAGTTATGAATGATAAAAGGAATCATGGCTACCAAGACTGCTGCTGGCCAATGTCATTGATTAACTCTTTATTAATCATTCATTTTCCATAGCTATTCACAGAACAAAATACTAAGAAAATAACAGTTTCATGATAACAGTTTCAGCCACACATAAATTAAACTCATGTTGAATTCGGAATGATGTTCACGAGGATGCTCCAGTTTCTAGAAGCAAAAAGCCACAATGATTTATAAAGGATTGTTAAGTATCACCACATACATATATAAGGGAATAGAATTCTGTTTTGTCAAATCCTTTTTGTGTTTGGAAAGATTAAGGTATGCATACATGCACCAGTAGCTTTTGAGGCATGCAAGTTGACGATTTGAGACTGATGCTAAATAGGAAGTGAACATATATAGATACCCTGGGTATATAGTATTTTATATTTTTTAGTCTAAATCAACCATTGACAATATCACCTTGCACTGTTAATAACATCAGTATCATCATATTATTCTTTGAGAAAAAAACCCTATTGGATGATCAAGAGAAACATATGTAGGTTTGATTGTAATCTTTTGTTCAACACAAATGCATACAGCATACAAAATGATAAGGGGAAATTAAAACATAGCACTTTAAGTTCTCAAACTAATAGACTCAAAATATTTCTGGTTTTTTAACAAAGAGAAGGAAACGATTTATGTCATTCGAATGACACAAAAAAACAAAAACAACTCATAGATTGGTGCAAAATTCGAATAAGTTTCTATTTCAATTTGCCTGGGGAGGAAATGTTTTTCACACAATTACTTTTTATTTAGAATAATATCAAGGTACAAAATAATATTAAGCCTTCGCCATCATTTCCAGTGACTAAAGACAGCCACTGTGTTTTGTATTTCAACAAGTAATTGCATTTGCCACCTTCTTATTTCAAGTTGAATTACAAAGAAGCCTTTAAGCTAATATGCATGAAAGTTAAATATCAGTTGTGAGCAGTATTTTTACCCCTGTCTTGGATTGCTTATCAATAAATCACAAACTGTGAACTGTACTCCATTTTATAAAATTACTTCAAGACAGGAATATTTAAAACATTCCCTGTCAGAAAAGAAAATTAAAGGAATACAGTCGTTTTCACAAAACAAAAAAGCTTTCTGCCATTTCGTAATATTATTATGTAATATCAAAATGTCCTCTGAATCATGTATAATTGGATTTATTTAGAGCTACAGGACAGAAAAAACAGTGGTTGGCATTTTGAGTTGAATTTTTCCAAAAACTGTAAAGAAAATTCAGGCAAAAACTGCAAATTGTAACAAGTAGTGTTAATTGTTTGATTTACTGTTTGGATGAAAGGGAATTGACACAAAAGCTAGCTTAGAGACAAGATGCATCTTAGGCTCTCAGCTATATACACACAATTCAATAAAATGGAGCATGAGTCTTAGTCAGTCATGAAATAAGCTAGTTTATTTACATGTACCTTGGCTAAAATTATATGTAGCTCTCAGACACACCAAGGCCAAAAGTCAATCAAAACTTTGAAATTGAAAGGTTTTAACAGATAGGTTGCTGTCATTTTGATGATATTAACAACAATTGATTTTCTTGTTGAGGAAGAAACCAACATTTTCTTACCAGGCAATAAGATTGGAAGAATACATACACAACATCCTAGATGAAATTAAAACAATTTCCCCCTGGTTGGACCAAAATTGGGTTTTGACTTTTGATGTTACCATGGTAACAAAAGTATTTCAGAAAACAAAAGTTCAACAGGTCAAAACTCCACTCCCTAGCTGCACAATATGTTGAGTGAGAAATATCATTGACACCTTCATGAGGATCTTTTTTGGTGACATTCTTGGTCAGCGTTTCGTAGATTTCCATAATGGTATCAAGTGTCACAAGCATCCTAAATGCTCTAAACTGAACTTAAAAGAGCCTTTGAATTCAATCAGAATTCATCTTTGTGTACATGTACCTAATGAAATGACAACCACTCATTCCAGCACCACAGCCATTTGGCACATTAAATCTCCATACTTGAGTAGGAGCCTTTAACTTCGTAATACCCCAAAAATATTGATGAATCTGGAACCTTTTTACA